AGTAAAAGTATGATTCCGGTGATCGCAACGCCTTCTGCTTCTCTATCTGCACACATACCTGGGATGCGAATATTTGCCTCAATTCGTCAGTGTTCTGCTTCAATTAGAGCTTGCATTATCTTGTCGCATCACCCTTAATTTGAAAATTATAATGCTTCTGGTGTTAGTGCGCGACCAAAAATGTCAATAGACACAGATTGGCCAACGGCCTCCGATTTCGCATCCAGCGTTCTAAAACTCTCCGCCATGGAATACATGCTTATAAGCCGTAAGAATAATCGACATTAGGTTAGGTCTGTCGAGCAAGATGCGCTTACCGTAGTCTGAAGAACGTTTCTGTTGGAATCGCAAGACAAACATTTACGGAGTAAATAATTACAACAGAAAACCTAGCACGGTCCGTAAGGTTAAGAACTGTAGTAATAGACAGTGGTAAGAGGGCCACACATAGCCAGAAAGTGTGAGTCGTCAGACATAGATTATAAGGTTGGTTCCGAAAAATCTCACGAAACCTAGGAAAAGAAACGGAAAGCAATCCAACCAACAGACATAAGAACGAATAAGTGAACAAAGGCAGCGAAAGTTGAAAGCAAACGAACCTGGTCGAGGGATCCCACCTCCTTTTGGAAAGCTTCCATCTCGACATCTAACTTATCTCGATATGGCACGTGTCTGGCTTCAGCGTCACGCTTGGCGTCGTCGAAAAAGCCCTCTGGTAGGATAGTCTTAGAACCTTCTTCCTCTTCTTTCTTCTTCGGAGATTCAGGCTTCTGAATTTTCTCAGGTGTTTTGGAGGGAGGATTAGCACTCAAATTGGATTGTAGTGCAGGCTCGAGACTAGCTGCGACGGGAGTTGAAGTGACCTAATGGAGGGTAGACAGTGAAATGAAATCGCCTACCTCGGTCTTAGCCACCTTGGCACTTTGGGTGGCCTGTACGTGCGACTGCAATCGCTTGAGCGACGAAGTGCCTTTGAGGGCATTCTAAATGTCACATAGTTTGTCAGAAAAAGGCGAACCTCTTTATGGGTTTTACTCAAAATGTGAGCGTTCCATGTGAGCTCTGATTTTATGGGTACACCGCAAACAATGCAGGAGATTTTTCCTAGCGAGTTATATCTAAAAATCAACCGGAATTTTGCAAGTTACTTGATGTGAGGATGTTCGATCCTCTTTGAATTAGACCGATGGACTTTCAGCAACGACCGAACGTCCATGAGGTCTTAGTGATATAAGAAGGGAGCGTTGGCAACAATTTCTCAAATTGCTAAAAGGGATAACATTGGAGCATAAGATACTGCTATAGAAGTTAAAGATCTGGCAAGTACGCAACATAGAGAAACTCGTGCTGAAGAGAAGTGGTCGCTAAAAAGGGCAGAAAATACTAGACATATAAGGCGAAACAAAGATTAAGATTAAGGTTAAGAGTCGGTAAGCCGACTCGGAGCACAGCAAAACTTAGTGCAACAGGCCGCTAAAATGTCAAGCAAGTACGGCCCTCAACTCTGACTGAGAGGGACAAAAAACCGTTGACGAAATAGTTGCCATAGTCTAACACGTCAAACGCAGAGGACGATTTTTTCCCTCCGGATCAATTAACCAGCTGCTACTTGTGATTGGAATTGAACCCTGTTTACTAACCAGAACTCTCGCACCAAAATTCGATCTTGGCAGAGATTATAGAACGAGGGTTGTCGTTCACATCAGAAACAGGAATCCGCAGTGTAGACAATGGTCTCAACAGACGTAGTTGCACTGTTTTGTGTGGCCAAAGTCAGAGGTATATTCCGCGAGGGGCACTGCCTGTAAACTCCTCTAAACGATTTCAGTGCTGTTTTATAGAGTTGATAGAGGGGATCATTGGTGAGCAAACTAACTCCAGCTGCCCGGGCGGACACCTATAGAATCCTTTGACTGGTCGGTGACATCCGTTGGTCAAATATTTTTTTCTATCGTCTCGTGAATTGAAAACTTTACCAACTACAGCTTTTCCTTGGAGTTAAACTTCTAAGCAAGACCGCATCTCTATTTTCGAAACTATGAACGCTTTGGAACATAATCGTTTTCGAACTCCAAGGCAGATACCAGGAGCTACCGATGTAATAGGAGGGTACACCTTCAGACATTTGCGGACTTACCTTCGATCTGCCAGTATCCAACATGACATAGAAGCTAGAAGAGGGTAACTTATTTATCTACCTGTAAGGTAACTATTCTAATACCAGGTCAGATGTCAGTGAGAGACTGGAAACATGCGTTTACAAACGATTAGTTTTGCTTAGCGAAGATTGAAAATCGCGCAGAATTGGCGCAATGAGTACGTGGTACAGAAGCTTTTCGACCGCACAAGATAAGTTCGTATGTCCACGAGGTAAGACATATAGCACAAGGACTTATAGCGTACATTTACTTACAGTTTACCGTTGTCTACATTATGATAGAACTGCTAAAAAGAAACGGGATACTATGCATAAAATTTATCTCGATTAAATATCCGCATACTTCGCCAAATGGGAAAGTGATATGGGGTACCTTTCGGGAATTCGTCTTAACTATTGGTAAAAGCAAAAACATTTGGCAGAAATCACCATACCCAGGACACACCTGCTAGGAAAAGGCAAATGTAAACTTAACGAGCCGGTTGATTGGCGGTGGAGATAAATTATCATTTTAGTTTCGCCCTTTATCATTATAATACAAAATTTCAAGTGCTCTGAAAGCAATATACCAGAATTTTTTAAGTGCCGGGCCTGGTACTCTGAAATAAAAGTTTCATTTTTTGAATATTCATGGGATGTTTGAGGCGATGAGAGCAATGACAGCAAAGATCACTCAGTGCACTTGCACGCTAGGAAAATAGATGAGTGACTGACCAGATGTCACCGTTCAGGATACAAGCGATAATTACGATGTCCAAATCAAGCCGGGAGCCTGTGTAGGAGTTTAGCACTAGCATATACCAACAATTCTGCAAATTAGGCAGCGTCAAAGCGCATAGTTGGCAAGAAGATTGATTGCAACGGCTGCCAGTTCAACATGAAATGTAAACTGCTGCACCCAAAGGCCCTTGGTTGAGGCTTCAGGGGTACTTAAGACAAACTCCAGCAGTAATTGAAACCGTCGTAAACGGGTGCAGAAACTTCGCAGAGTCTTAAAGGCTTTACTAACTCCGCCCGTCAAGATGTGACAGAATCTATTACCATCGCTATTGTTGTCGGTGACGAGATATTGCTATTCCTATAGGACAGTATTTACTACCAAGAACCGCTCCATGAACCCTTTTATTCATGCGTGAAATCCGTGTGGTATACCTTTGCATTTTCGTGAACGATATGTGCTACAACCGA